TGGAAACCACTGAGAATAGGGTAGACATACAAGTATTTGTATGATCCCAGGGAAGGCCTCACAGGTGTGACACTTTATACTGAATGTTTGTGTCTCTCCAAATCGGTACGTTGAAATATAACCTGCAACGTGATGGTATTTGGTGGTGGGGTCTTTGAGAGGTAATTAGGTCCCGAATGTGGAGCCCTCGTGAATGGAATTAGTGCCCTTCTAAAGAGCCCGCTGAGAGGTCCCTTGCTCTTTCTGTCATGTGAGGAAACAGCAAGCATCTGGCTGTGGATGGACCAGGAAGTGGGTTCTCATCAGAACTGAATCTGTTGGCACCTTGATCTGGGACTTCCCAGGCCCCAGAACTATGATGTATAAATGTATGTGGTTTATAAGCCATCCAGCCTATGGTGTTTTGCTACAGCAGCACAGCTGGACTAAGGTCTATGAATAGCCTTTTAGAGGTTATGGGAAGTTATCCGAGCTGGATCCAGGCCAGTGGTAATGTAGGTGGTTTGTCTCTGAATTTTGTTTTCTTATTTCCTATCTTCTTTTCTCTCCCTAAACCTCCATGCTTGGTTCTTTCAACCTGTCGCCATGCCTGATTATCCCCAATAATGCATTGTCAGGAGTCTGTAGAACAACCTTTAAGTCCTAATACCATACATAAAAGATTTGAGAGTCTAACCACATTGAGTGTTCAGTACAGTGTTTTTGTAGGTTGCTGTAATCACATCTGGTAAAGGATCCAGAAAGATTTGAATCCAGAATTCAAGATATGTGACAAGTGTATATGTTCAAGTCTTCACTGAGATAGTACAATACCAAGTACAGAAAAATCGAGAGTAAACTTACTTTGCTTCCTCTACTCTAGAAACTGGAATAGATGTAATCAAGTCCTAGAAGAAAAGATGCAGATCAGAGAAGACTGAGTATCCAGGATCCAGTAAGGATCCAAATTGATCATGGAAGTTCTGGCCTAACCCCAGTTTCTTCTGAGTCAGCGATATCCAAATTTAGGTTAATTTGGACTTCTTTTCCTTGGACCCATCAGGCTATCTCATAACCTCCTTCTCAGGGCACGAGTCCTTCTAGGACACGTCCTGCCAGGAATAGTTCTCCTTGTCTGTCCTTTACCCTCATTAATTAGCATTGGAAAAAAGAAAGAAAAAATAATTTGTCAAGACATTCACCCCATGGAACTTCCCCCAAACATTCTATTCTTGTCTTTTATTTTTAGCAATGACATCAGTTGGGTTAGATTTGGGTTTCTAATGATCAATTCCATTCACATTGCCCTCTATTAAATATGCCAAACAGATTTTACATTACAAAGCTACTACTTTTTAATGAGATTTATTTAATAAGCTTATCCTCAGATCTTCAAGGATTTATAGATATTCAGCAGAGTGGGAAAAGGCTGCCTCATTTATTGGCGATACATTTAAAGAACAAATTTTGGAGAAGCCATTCAAGTAACATGTGTCTTCCCTCTTCAAAACCCTCCCAGTTGCGTGGTGTACATGTGGGCGTCACAAAAGAGCGTCTCCAGCCCCCTTCTTGAAAACCAGGAAGTGTTACACAGAACCACAGCTCCCCAGAGCCCTGTCTTTTCAGATCCGAGCCATGTGTTATGAGAAAGAAGTCATCTCTGAAGTGCTTATCTTGCTTCTGGCAAGGATGTAACAATTCAGATGTACAGCTTCATAACGCCTACAGGAAAGGATTTAGGAGAAGAAAAGAACCCACATTTCGGCATGACAAAGGGGAAGGCACGCTAGCAACAGAAATCACCAACGTGGAGAGGCTGTAGGGTGACTTGACTCAGAGCGGGAGAGGAAAAAACCTGGAGTTCAATACCAGTAGTTGGGTCTAAAGCCAAGAAAAAAGGAGATGAACTCACAGATACCAGGAGTATTAAATAACCAGATGTTATGAGACTGTCATCATAGCATCTGGTTATTTAATACTCTTATTTCTGAGCCTCAGTCCTGTGGAATAAGCTGTTGTTTCTGGACTTAATCTATTTAGGGCTGAGCTTTCTGTGAGATGAAGCCATGCATCCCAGGTGTATATTGAGGTTACAAAAACTTTGTATCGAGCCCCTGACTTTAGTGTGATTGAAACTGTTTGCCAAGCCTGGTATTTGTAGCCAGGTACATTGCCAGCCGTTTATGCAAAAAGCCAACCCATGGAGATGAATGGATGGCAGTTACCCTGTAGAATTTCCCTGGTGGACCTGGCTTGAACGCTACCTAACTGGATTTTACTGACGATGGATATGAGAAATTGCTCTATCTAGGAATATGTCCTAAGATTCTTTTTCTTTATTGTTGAAAGTATTACAGGTGTCCCTCCTCCCCCCGCCTCCCCCCACATTTACACCTTCCTCCCCACCCCCACCTTCCCTGCACTGTTGTCGATGTCCATTGGTTGTGCATATATGCACATAAGTTTTTTTATTTATCTCTTTCTGCCCTTCCCCCTCCTTCCCTCTGAGGTTTGTCAGTCTGTTCCCTACTTAGGAAATGTCTTTAACGTAGACAAATCCCCTTCAGAACCAACCACTGGGAATGGGTTTCTTCCTCAGGATCAGCTGAAGTGTTTTCCTAAAACCACACATGGAATTGTGCAACCAGCTGTCGTCTGCTTTTTCTAGTTGGTGGGAAGCTCAGAAGTACGTTTTATGTTTGATTGTTAACATTCTCCTCAATCAGAATTTATTGCTGTTGTTTTTTCCTCCACTTTTACTTTTTGGTTCATTTTGGTTCTTACAAACTTTTTTACCATCTCATTTCCCCCCACCTAAAGTGGGTGGCATATAAAAAAGATGCAGTTAGCCCTGGCCGGTTTGGCTCAGCTGTTAGAGCATCAGCCTGCGGTCCAGAGAGACCCGGGTTCGGTTCCCGCTAAGGGCGCGTTCCTCGGTTGCAGTTTGTCCCTGGCCCTGGTTGGTCGTGTGGGTGGCAGCCACTCAATGTGTCCCTTTCACATCGATGTTTCTCTCTCTCTGTTCCTCTCTCTCCCTCCCACTCTACCTGAACAAAAAGTGAAAAAATGTCCTCAGGTGAGGATTAAAAAAAAAAAGCAATTAATTCAGAGCTTTAAAGTGTGCCTCCGGAGACGTGTGTTTTCAAGTGGCATTGCCTTCCCCTGGCAGAATATGTGTTTCCTCCCTCCCCATTGTTTATTTACCCGAAGTGAGAAAGGACAAGAAAGCAAGAGAGCAAATCCAAGGTGGAGGATTTGCCTGGAAAATTCTCAGGAACAAACAACTGACAAAATAACACACGCTGAAACGAAGATAGGTCCTGGGGAGAATTATGATTTCAATGTTCAAAGACTTTCTCTTGTACAAAAACACATAGATGGAAGCTGGTTTTAGCCAGTTCTTTCCTGAATGCTCAAGTAACAACTGAAATAAGAAGCACCCCCCCAGGTGCTGTCTGCACCCAGAGGCATGGAAACGTGGATGTTTACCGACAGTCCTGGGCAGGAAGCTGCAGTAAGGTGCAGAAGGGGACTGGGAGATTTATCGGCCCTGGTTGCTAGCCACATTCCCAGATTTTTAGGACATCCATTAAAATCTTTGCATTTGTCTCACATTGTCCAAAATTACTAACAAGGTTTTTGAAATTAATTAGTTCACAGATTGGAAGATTATCCTTTAGATAAAATACATGGGCCTTGGGCCTGTTTTCCTTCAAATGAGTACTTGTTGACTGTGTCATTTCGAAGAGGAAAGCCCTGTGCTCCCTAATGCTCTCTGCGCATGTAAAAGTAACCTTTTTGCTATTGATCTTAGAGAGGGAGAGGGAGAGAGAGATAGAAACATGGATGAGAGAGAACATCAATTGGCCGCATCCCGCATGCCCTGCACTGGGGATCGGGCCCACAACCTGGGCATGTGCCCTGACTGGTAATTGAACTGGCGACTTCGCGCGGTCGATGCTCAACCAGTGAGCCACACTGGCCGGGCTCTCTGTGCATTTTAAAGACAGGGCAAGAAACATTGCCTATCGTAGATAGTAGTCAATAAGTGTATTCAATGTATGAGTCTTTAAAACGGAAACCTGAAGGAGCGTAGACCAGCAGGTGCTGGTCTGGGAATGGGAACACAGTTCGGTTTCCACACTGCCATTACCCTCTGCAGCAGGAACAGTGAGTGTGTGCCCACTGCCACTCCATCCATTCACCCGTCCCTGCGCGGAGAGGCTGGCCCCACCCAGTGCATCACCCAAGACCCCTGGCTGTCTGGTGTCCCATTGGCCTCGGCCTGGGGATGACAGGTGGAAAACAGTTAGCAGGTGGTTCTCCCATGCCGGCCCCTGCTTTTGCCTCATCCTCGCTGCTTCTCTTAACCATGCCCACTCCTCTCTAAGTGGCCTCGTTAAGGCTTTCACATTGGAACCATCTGGAGTGAATCCTATTGTCAGCCAGGCCTCTGAGTGACACAAACAGCAACCAGCACCAGCACACTGGAACAGTGTGGAGCAGTGTGCTGCGCCCCCAGCTCGTGGGAGCTCACCAGCCACGCCGGGACTGCCAGGTAGGGAGAGAAGAGGGACGACTGGCACCGGCCAGCCCGGCCCTACGGCTGCTGCTCCATCTCCCCGGACGTGTAAGACCAAGGACACTCCCAGGGCCCAGCCACGGCTTCCGAGGCTTATATTCAGTGCTACCCACCAGACACACTGATGAACTTGGGCATTTGGGGAGAAAAGCTTTCTTTGCTCACGACTCAATCCAAAAAATTTTAATGACTTTTTTTTTTTTTTAAATAACATTCGACAGGAGGGTGAAGAGATCCCATGGTGGGCAGCGAGGCTGGAGTCCAGGCTTCATTCTGTTTGCCCCGCTGTCCTCGGGACCTCGACTCAGCTAGAAGTGTGCACAGTGCGGAAAAACGGGAGATCCGGGCAGAGGCGGCCTGAGTGCGCAATGACATCCCCAGTCCATTATATTTATACATTTTATATATATATATTACATCCAAGTAGACAGTCCTTTGTACCATTTCCCAGGGAGGCGGGAGGTTTCTGAGGCAGGAGGGCTCGGCGGACAGGGTGGCGCAGGGAGCTGGGGGCTGGGGCGGGCTGCATCACAGGAGCTGCAGGAGCTTGAGGGACTGCAGGAGGGCCGCGGGCTCTGCGGACGCCAGGTACTGGCAGCACAGCCAGTCCTCCAGCTCCACCCCGCGCCTGCGGTCCACCGCCTTCTCGGCGAACTTCATCATCATCAGGGCGCGCTTCATGTCGATCCAGTTCCGCAGCGTGCCGCTCAGCGCCTCCTCCGAGGGGCCCCGCGGCTCCACCAGCTCGCGCCGGGGCCCCCACAGCAGGCACTGCAGCACCCGCTTGGCCTCGCCGATGCGGATGCGCTTCACCGGGTCGGCCTCCAGCAGCAGGTGGGCGAGCTGCTGCAGGCCGGGCGAGTAGAGGGACAGCGCGGGCAGGGGCGGCAGGTCTTCCTGCCGGTAGTCCTGCTCCCACAGCTGGGCCCGCACCTCGAACGGGTTGGGCTGGTGGAGCAGCTCGTAGATGAGGATGCCGGTCTGGAACTCATCGAACTTGCTGTACTGGGAGGCAGACACGATCTCGGGGGCCAGCCGGGCCTGGCTCTTCTTCTGCTGCAGGTTGGTGGTGCCGCCCGGCTTCTGCTTGGCCTTCAGGAAGTTGCTGATAATGAGGCGGGGCAGGTGCTTCTCACTGGGCACCCCCTGACAGGTGGGGGCGGATGGGGGGTGGGGAGCGACACTGGCGGGGAAGGTGGCAGAGGGGCAAGGGGAGGGAGTAGCGGCAGGGGCTGTGGTGGAGGGAGGGGCGCTGGAGGTGGCCGAGGAGACAGGGGCACCGGGGGAGGCCTGGGGGGTGCAGTGCACCAGCAGCAGGTTCTCCAGGCACAGGTCTCGGTGGATGACCCTGTGCTCCTTCAGGTGCTCCAGCCCGTTGCAGAGCTGCAGCAGCAGGAAGCACACGCGCCGCTCGTAAGCCTCGGGCTCGGACTGATGGTGGCTGGCGGAGTCCCGCACAAAGTCAGAGGCAGTCTGGTGGGGCACCTCTCGGGTGATGACCACCACGCAGTCTTGCTCCTGAGCAGGGGGGGGAGAGTCCTTGGGCACGTCAGGAGAGGCGAGCATGCTGGAGGGCACCGAGGCCACGAAGTGGCCGCAGTCCTGCTGGATGTTGAAGTGCACGGGCACCGACGGGCTGCAGTAAGAGGCCATTTTGGGCTCAGGCGTCTTGCAGATCTGTCGGGAGAAGGACAGGTAAGGTCAAGAGCGGGATCCCTCATCTGTTCACCAAATGGTGCTGGGACATTTGGAAATCGCCAGGTGAATTCTCACTTCACGTCACACACACATCAACTCAAAGTGGTCACAAAGACTTTGGTGTGAGAGCCCAAACATATATGTTTTAGAAGAAAACCCAGGAGAGAACCTTTGAGACCTTGGGTTGAACAAAGACTTCTGATATCACACCAAAGGCATGGTCCATAAAAAAAGAATTGAAAAAGTTGACCCCCATCAAAATTCAAAACTTTTGTGCTTCAAATATAATTTTAAGAAAACAGAAAGGGCCCTGGCCAGTTTGGCTCAACGGTTGGAGCGTTGGCCTGTGGTCCGGAGAGACCCGGGTTCGGTTCCCACTAAGGGCATGTGTCTCGGTTGCAGTTTGTCCCCGGCCCTGGTTGGGTCGTGCGGGTGGCAGCCACTCGATGTGTCCCTTTCACGTTGATGTTTCTCTCTCTCTCTCTCTCTCCCTCCCACTCTATCTGAACAAAGAATGAAAAAATGTCCTCGGGTGAGGAGAAAAAGAAAACAGAAAGGCAAGTAACAGACTATGAGAAAATATGCACAAGACACATATCTGATAAATGATTTGTATCCAGAGTTTACAAAAAGACTTACTACTCATTAATAAGACAAACTTCTCAATCAAAAAGTGGGGCAAAGATATTAATAGGCATTTCACCAAAGAAATATGTAAATGACTGTAGGCACATGAGAAGATGTTCAACATCATGAGTCATTAGGAAAATGCAAATCAAACCCACAATGAGATACTGGCTGACGCCCACTAGAATGGCTGTAAGAAAAATAACAAGTGTCTATGAGGACGTGGAGAAATGGGAACACTTATGTATTGCTGGTGGTTTGTAAAATGGTGCAGTCATTTTGGAGCACAGTTTGGCAATTTCTTAAAAAGTTAAACATAAAATTATCATACAGCCCAGCAAGAGTGGGGTGCCAGTAACAGCACGCAGCGTGGCCTCCTGGTATGGGTAGGAAGACCTCCCTCTGCCCAGTGAAGGCCGGACAAATTCTCAGGAAGCCAGATCAGAGCTGACACGGCCATCAGCCTTGCTGCCCACCCCCCGCACCTGAATCGGCAGCTACCAAACAGGGGGTGTGCTTGACTGTGGGGGTGCACCGTTCTCAGGGAACCTCGGGGGCAGATGCAGGCCCTAAGCTTCTAGGCCTTGGCCACATTCTCTGAGGCTGCCCTAGATCCAGGTAAATGTGCAATGCCTACTAGCTGGCATGATCTGCAGGGCTGATTCAATGAAACTGCTCTGTGGAAACCTATGTGAGTCAGAACAGCTGAAAGAAAACAGGGCCAGGGAACCCGAAGGGCCAAAGGCACCCTCTGAGCAGAAAGCAGGAATAAACCAACAGCTGATCTCAAGCTCCTCTGGGGAATTCCCACAATCGCCTCTTCAACATTTTCTTGGACTGAGGGCAGCACCAGCCACCTGAGGACCTTTGGCCACACTGATCCTCACTGGGCCGCCACCCCACTGGACAGCCTTGAGCCAGACACCATGGGCCTCACGTAATTACACTGGAAGGGACCGAAGAGGGTCTGTGCTCTCCTCTCTAAAAGGCTATTGTGCAGCCTCAGCCACGCCTTACAGAAAGGTAAGGATCAGCATGTAATCCCGAGAAGAAAGGCATCTCGCATCTACCCAGAAGAAAACATCATCCTGCGGAACAATCCTGAAACAACCCTCGGGGCTGCGGCGCTGCCTCCCTCAGGTGACCACGGCGGTCACGAGGTGCCAAGATGCTCACGGGTGCTGGTTTTAGAAGTTCCATGGCAAGCCCCTTTCCACGGAGATTTATTTATATTGCACTATACAAACCTCAGCGAAACCTGGGATACAAGAGTTCAGCCTCTTAGGAAACTTTTCTCAAGGTAATTGGGAGGTGGGGAGGTAACGCATTAATACAGTGATGTCTCTGTTATAGATAGAAATAAAAGAAATACAGTGATGTCTCTGTTATAGACAGAAATAAAAGGCAGTGCATTTGTCCCAGACACTGGTTCCGGTCGCACCAGCAGGCATGGTTTTGGAAAACGTATCTGAAAGGCATCGTTGCAGGCTCTTTCTTATTCTAGCCCACCCAACAGTGTTCAGCTTTTAAATGGCTGGCTTTGGGAATACTATTCAATTAAGTAAAATTTGAGAGGGTGGTCCTCACAAATAGTCTTGCATATAAATACCAACCACTGGGTATGGGCCTGTCTTGCTACGGGTATGTGGGAATGCAGTACTGATGTCGGGGTCACTCGGACCCGTGAGGGCTTCCCAACCACACGGACACCCACTGAACTCTTGCATGTGCGAGGAACCATGCCTCTGCAGCACGTAGCAGTGTCTCATTAACTCTCAAACCACCAGATGAGGCAGATGGTATTACAGGGGAGGAAAGTGAGGGTCCAAGAGGTTAAATTATTTGCTCAGGATTATACAACTGAGAAGTATTTGAAAAGTCCAAGTATGGGCTCAAGGGTGCAAAAAGACCTGGTTTAAATACAAACTCTGCAAATACTGACAAGTTACAATGGAGTCTGGCTACTTGCAGTAGTTCCGTTCTAAGAAGTAGCCGTAAACACTGCACTAGTGAATACTGAGCCACTGCTCTGGGGAAATGCAATGTGAAGTCCTAGAAGGCTTGGGTTACATTTTCATTAACTGGCCAATATATAACCTTATTTCATGTGAGTTTCTATTTAAAGATGCCTTTTTAATAGATATTGTTGATTCATTAACAATGAACTCATGGTCAACAGCACTATACCTCATGCCTGAATGAAGCTGACCTAATACTCTCCCAAAGGCATACCACAGCCTTCTCTTTTGCTTTATTGATTTTAAAGAGAAAGGAAGGGAGAGGGCGAGAGAACGAAACACTGACGAGAGAGAACATTGATTGGCTACCTCCTGCCCACCCCCAAATGGGGATTTGGCCCACAACCTGGGCATGTGCCCTCCCTGGGAATCCAACCAGCGACCTCTTGGTGCATGGGTCGATGCTCAGCCACTGAGCCACCCTGGCCAGGCATACCACAGCGTTCTTGCACTTAGCAGCACTAGACAGGACTTCAGTGCTCAGCTCCACCATTTAAACAGCAAAATCACCACCAGTGAGCAGAAAAATGTGAAGAATGAGGCTCTAACTAGGCCAGGGAAGGGACTGTCCACAGTGAGGGCTGGAACAAGGCAGAGTACCTCCTGTGCCTCCTCAGCTGGGAATCTGCATGTCGGGGGACTCAAATCCCCCTACTCTGTGCATGTCCAAAAATGACCACAAAAATGCCACAAGTATTGATTTGGGTTACAAATAATTAGCAGTGAATTCACAACATGGGGTCCTCGAATAACGAGGGCCGCCTGTATTTATCTCAAAGGCGGCTCTCTCCTCTGTGCATGGGGCAGGGCCAGCTCCTTCCTCACTGGGCCACTGGGGGCATTAAATGACACAACACAGGTGTGGCTTTCAGCACAGTGCCTCGCCCAGGTGAGCAGTCACTGGGAAAGGTTGCTATGGTGATTGCTCTGGCAGGCTTGGCTGCAGCCAAGCCCAGTGCACAATCCAGAGCCAGCCTGTAGGTTACTGTACCAACCCCGAGGGCGCAGCTGCCCTGGGCCTGGGAAGTGTTTCCAAGGATCCCTTTTGTCAACGGTATCAAAGGCCTGGGCCCAGCAAACACTCCCGTGGAGGGGCTGGGCTGACAGTTTGCACAGAAATGTGGAGAAAATGGCAACTGGGCTGGATGTGGTTCAAAGTCAGTGAGCTGGTCCTCTGGCTGCACAGACAGCTGGGTGGAGGGACAGGAGACAGGAAGGGGGGCAGGAGGCTTCCTTTCCATTCCCATCTGCCCCCACCCCCTCATTTCATTTTCAGGGGGCCTGGACTTGGGTTTTGGTTCAAGACATTCACACAAATCTTTGATTCAGCTCAAATTTCAAATGTTTGAGCCAAGTCTCCGTTTAAACTTTGCAGCCTGGGCCTTATTCACTGTTGAAAATCTGGGCTAAGTCACGTCTGTTAAATAAAAAAGGCAGCCGCTCAACACAGGTCCCTAATTACTCAACCGAAGTTCCCGGTGACGGAAGAATGAACCAGGCTTCGAAACCTCACAGGCACCTAATGCTTTTTGCTGCCGTACACGCGTAGAGGACAGGGCCAGAGCGCCCTGCTCTCCTCGCTGCGCAGGGCGCCGAGCCGGAGCGGGCCCAGCATTAGTGGGAGCAGGTGCGAGCCCGCCTTTGTTCCTGCGACTTCCAACCAAGGTTCCTGCTGGCCAGGCGCGGATGAAATGTGCTCAGCGACAGACAGGCTTCGCAAGGGGGCCCCGCTCCCCCTCCCTCGGATTGCAGACGACGTCCTCCGTCTAGACGCCCAGCTAGTGAAGTGGAACAGCTGCACGTGCGGAGGACGCTCCGCCCCCGCCACCAGGCCGGGCACATGTGCAGACTGATATTGTTGTTACCCAGACTGAACATTTCAAACTCGTCTCCACACTTCCTTCTCAACGGTGCAGAGGTCATCTGTGAGTCGCCAAGTGTCTGGCAAAATCCTATGGGAGACACGGGCCCCTCCTCCTGGGAGGGCCAAGTGGTAACAGGCTAATCACGTTCGGCTCCCTGGAGGGTCTGCTCACTTCTTCCTCTGCTGGATACAGCACCATGTTAATAAGAGGCAAAAGGCCAGGGTTGTTTTTCTTTTCCTTTTCTCTTTTCAGGCGTGGTTGGGGGAGTGGCAGGGAAGGGACCTTACCAAGAGAGTAGCGGCTGGGTTTAGATGTAAAGAGGCGATGAAGCTCAGGAAATCCAGACTCTCATGGGCATCTGCCTTTTCTTCCGCCTTGCGCCTGCCGTCTTGGCCACACCCCTAGTCTTTCGGGGACCTTGATTTCTGTACAAGAACTGGATCCTCCTGGTAGCCACCCCCTCGCTAGTGCATCATACGAAGGCAGCAAGTACTTACATATAATTCCTTGAACACAGAAATCAGTGGTTCCCAATCTATATTTTATGGTGCCACCAATTTCTTAAAAGAAATTTGAAAATAAAATGTATTGCAATTTTCCTTGGCTAATAACTGTAATAACGCGTAAGTAGGAAGCTGCCCCACCAAGGCTGTTTCACGGTAGTTCACTATTTACTTTTTTTTCTAACTGGAAATAAAATATCTTGGGACAGGTGATGGCCAAAGAGAGCTCAGGGTTCCCCTCCTCATTCCCAACAAAAGCCTACACTTACAGAAGGGCCACAGCCTGGCAGGTTGTGGGCCTGATCCCCAGTGGGGGGCATGCAGAAGGCGGCCAATTGATGTTCTGTCTCATCGATGTTTCTCTCTCTCTCTCTCCCTTCCTCTCTCTCTAAAATCAATAAAGAAAAAAAAAATAAATAAAAAAGGACTATAGACCCATCAAGGGATACTAAAAGAAGATGAAAGAAGTCAGACAGAAAGGCTCGAGTCAGTGGCCAAGATCAAGTGGCCAGGTGTGTGCAGACGCTTAACCAGCTGGCTCAGATCTGCACCCCGAGAGCAGTGGGGTGTGGTAGCCAACAGCCCTGGTTGAGTGGCAAAGATTAAAGAGCTGTGTTACCTTCTACTAATCACTTAACTTCTCTAACTTCATTTTTCTTAACTGACATGCTGGTAGCATGGGCTTTGGAGACAAGACAAAGCAGGGTTCAAATCCATCTCAGCCACCAGCTAGCTATGGGCAACTACTGAATCATTTTAAGCTCAGATCCTCATCTGTAAAACCTGCCCACCCTGTGAGGATTCGAGGTCATATAGTTAACACACCCAGCAAAGAGTCTAGCTGTACAGTAAATGCTCAAGCAGTGTTCTTCCTCTTCTTGTTCAGGATGATGCCGAGGTCTAGCTCTTCTTCTGGCTCTATTTGAAAACAAAATACTCTAACTGTCCATCTTCCCTACTAGATTATAAGCTCCATAGGGACCTTATGTCCACCTCTCTACACTCAGACCTTGACAAAATAGCTGGCATGTAGGAGGCACTTAGTAAAAACTCACCGAATAAATGAAGGAACTCTCTGTTGAATTAAAAGGCAACTGTTTTCTTAATCTAACCAGATCACATACGTTCATGCCTAAAAACACAGAGTGAATCACCTGCTCATAGCACAGACCTCATTATGCCATGCCCCTCTCCAGGCAGAGACTCAGCCCTCCAGGAGAAGCCTGGAGAGGTGGAGGACTTGCTCGAGCCACAATTCCACCAAAGCCAAGGACAGCTGCTTATACTGCAGAATAGGAGGGGTGGTACCTACTTTCACAGCATAGGTGTTGCCAGGGTCCTCGGAGCAGGTGGCACAGTAGTAAATGGCATCCCCGGAGTCACAACAGGGCTTGTTGCAGGTCAGCTTGAAGAGCGACCAGTTATTCTCATTGAAGTGCAGCTCCTTTTTCTGGCCGCCCATGAAGAGGTCCTCACACTTGGCCACGAGGCGGACCAGGGACTGGGCGTAGAGCCCCACCAGCTTGGCGCAGGTGCCCTCCTTGCTGCTGATGCTGCTCAGGAGGCTGTGGAGCTGAAGCTGGGTGCTGCTGGTGGAGGCCTGGCTGGCCACGCTCAGCTGGGAGGACGAGGCCGAAGGCACCCCTTTGCACTGGAGGCTGGGGCTCCCGCTGCCGCTTCTGCTGCCTGCCAGCCCTGGTGCTGGGACCCAGTGGCCATTGCCTTTGAAATTTTTCTCCAGAGGCTCCGAAGAAGAGAAGGTATGATGGTGGCGGCTCCCGTGGCTTGAGGAGAAGCCGAAGCGGGACTCGTCACGCACACAGACGCTGATTTCTGAGTGGCTGAGGTTCAGCTTGGGACTGGCTGCTCTTGGTCTGGGCGAGCCCTGGGTCCAGAAGAAGCCATCTGGTGAAGAGGCTGCCCGGCTCACTAACTTCTTCTGGGGAAGAGGCGGGGGCTGCAGAGGGCCGCTGGGGGACACGTCCTCAGTGGAGCCCGAAGGGAATGGAACAGGAGCGAAGAGCTTCTTCCCGCTGTTGGTGGGCGAGGGAGCTGGCTCAGATGATGGGCCTGAAAATGAGAACAGAAACAATCAGGCTGAGGTCAGTGCATTCAGTTCCAAAGCCCTGTGGGCTTGCTTGTGTCTATCCATGTGTCTGTCCGTCCGTCCGTCCATCCATTGCAAAGCAATTCACTTATTTTATTATCTCTTGAAATGACAACATATGCACAATGAAAAAAATTTAGCCCTGGCTGGTTTGGCTCAGCGGTTGGAGCGTTGGCCTGTGGACCAGAGAGTCCTGGGTTCAGTTCCCGCTAGGGGCAGTACCAAAAAAAAAAAAAAAGAAAACAATTTAAATGCAAAAATGGTGTACAGTGCCAACGAAGCCTTCCTCTGCCCCTGGCCCTCTCGTTCGAGGAAACCACCGCAGCAATTCCTCACAAATCCTTCTGGAGATACGCCCAACAAACCAGCAAACGGGGTGCACACCTCTACATGGAAAAGAGCAAACGTGCCCACTGCTTGGAATATTGCTTTTGTCACTTGATGCGTCATCTGAAAGCTATTTCGCAGCAGGTGTACAGAGCTCACTAGCTCCATGTAACAGCTATCGATCCTACATCATCATACACACGTATCATAATTCATTTGTCCAGTCCCCTCTTGATGGACACTGAGGATGCTTCCGATATTCTGCAGCAGCAACCACGAACCTAAACGTGTGTGGTTTGGCTGGATTTTTTAAAAAGTCAGGTTTATAGAGGGTACAATTTACCTACAGTAAAATTCCCCCTTTCAGCTCCTAGTTCTGAGTTTTGACAAACACTGTAGTGGCTCAGGGGCAGCGCTGGCCCACACACATTTTAGAAGGCACAGGAGTGTGATTGTATTTAAAAAACAAACAAATAAAAAACCCTAAATCCACCAGATTTCAGGGGAAATTGAGTCTTTCCTGAGACCCGCAGTCCCAGAGCGGTACCCATGGACACTGGTTCTGATGGGGGGGGAAGGTTCCAGATGGCCACAGGTCTCCACAGACCAGGGGGACAGCCAGGAAAGTCCCCGATGATGGGATGAGGGCTAATCCGGACGGAGGAATGCTACACGTTACTCTTAGGACAGCGTACACAATGGAGGTTTCCAGCGAAACAAGAACGCAGATGATAAGACAGGGAAGAAAAAGCCACGGACAATGGAAACAGGAACAGGCAAATTGAAATACTCATTTCTTTCATTCTAAGAACTGACTGGAAGATGTACCCATTATTTTAACTACAGCTTTAAAAAAACCCACATTAACTGTATTCATAGAATGCATCCTATAATCCCGAAGGAACAGGGATCTTAGACTCAAGGGGAGAGGTACTTAGCTGTGCACCCCTCACTTAGCTCGCTGTGCACGTCACCTCATGGGCAGGCTGGCGGTGCCTGCACCACTGCCCGCCTTAGCAGAGTGGCCGGAAGGAGGAGGCAGGACGCACAGGCCCAGGCGAATGGTGAAAGGCCCCCCAGGAAGCACATCTCCAGTTCTGTCTCCCTCAGATGCACGTGCCTTCCTAGGGCTGCTCCTGAAGGGGAATCATTTCCCTGCCCACACTGAGTCCCTCTCTGCTTTCTCCAACCCAAATGGGGGCAGAATGGCCCCTTCAGGCCAAGCCCTGGCACCGGGCCCTTCAGATCAACACCGAGGCTCCTGACGGGATGCTCCACAGGGAGGAGGGACCTTCTTAGGAGCAAGATGAGTGACCAGGATCTTAGGGCTCGCCTTGCCCTGGGCAGGGGGGGCACTACATCCATGCCCCAGCCTCACTGCCACCCGGACACACACCAACAGTGTGTGACAGCAGGGGGCCTCCTGCCTGGTACAACCCACATGCAAAGCTCACAGGACAAAGCTGGTGCACACAACTTGCTGAACACAGGAGCTGGGAACCAACAGGTTCATGCAAAGCGAAGCCGTGTGCAGCAGAGCGAAGCTGTCAGGCCCCACACCCACCAGCGCCCGTCCTGGCTCCACCATCTGTCACCGGGCCCAGGAGGAAGCATGCTCCGGTGTCGGCAGTAGGCTGTCTTGCTTCCCAGTGGTTGACCGCGATCCTAGAAAGTTACCCTACCCACCTCACCCTGCTGGCTAGTAAATGAGCGACTTCTACCCCTTCCAAGAGGCCCAGGTTAATCATAAATCAACAGTAGTGGCACAGGGGGGACCAGCCCACTTCACACTCTTCCCTCGACAGTCTGAACGGGGCACACAGGGAACAGCCAGCCTCAGAGAGCAGGGGGGATCCTATTGCACTGATCTCCGCAGGCTGGAGCCCTGGAGCCCTCTGGCCCCCCACCCTGTGCTCCCCAGAAAGAAGCTTTTCTCCTCCCAGGGCTCTGTCAGCAATGGGGACAGGTGAAGGCTGGGCTGGTGAGTCACTTCCTCCCCTCCTTCCTCTAGCAGCAGAGGCCGAGAGGGGGAGGATCACTTACTAACTCTTGGACTACAAAAGGGAGGAGCGGGACCCCTTATGTATGGGGCTCTCCAAGGACACTAAGCCTCAGCCACCAAGCACCCATGTGATGAGCCAGGGAACGGCCGAGGGGAACCATGCCCATTCCGTGGCCTTTCTGCATCCTGGGTAGCAGAAGCCCACCCCACTGAGCTGTCGAACCCTCAGTGTATTTATTACCAAGACACAGAAGATGCAGGGAGGAGACACAGCGGGGGGCGACGAGGAGCCCTGGGGAAAGCTTTCATCAGAGCCTCCAGGGATAGCGACAGCCTGGCTCTGCTCAGGACTCCTGCTCCCCAGTCTGGCGGCCGGGGAGGTTCGGACAAAGCAGTCCCTAGTCCCCTCTGTAAGTTTTGTGCTTATTTGATTTCCCAATACTTCGTGATTTTTCCTCTTTGCCTTCCTTGTAAGCTTCTTGATGCCTCCAGCATGTTCCCTTCTGCCTCCGCTCTGCTGCCTACCTCCCACCGCTGAGTTTCCTCATTTAAAAACAGACTGGATGGCATTACCATGAAGTCCCCTTCCAGCTCTAATAGTCTATAATTTCAGCCACTCCCTCCACTTGCGACCTCTCCTAACATGCACTTTTGTCTCGAAGCTGCTCCTGAAATAAAACACCTCCACGCAGATGGGTATGTTGCTCCAACCCTTCCACTCCCTATCTCTTCCCACAGCTGTGATGGTGAACTTCTCCATCTGTAGGGACAGCAGGAATCCTTAAAACAAGTAATCTGTACACATACTCCGTAGATTGCCAAAGAGATTCAGGAGCTTCTGATTTACTACAAAAAACTATCGTGTGCTCAGGCAGTGGGAAGGAAATGACTTTGCTGGGGACTTTGAGGACTGAGCTAGTCAGTGGCTTTGATCAGACCCATGTCCCATAACCACTTGGGGCAAGGGGTACTGGGTATTAGGAGGAGGCGTGGCTTCGAGGGTCAGCCTGTGGACTGGTTCGTTTTTCTTTATTTCTGAGATGTTACAATCCCTGCACAAAGCATGTGCCAATCAGAGGACGGCGCTGCAGGACGACGCTCCCCAACCATGCATGTCCCACGACAGCAAGGACCGTACTTGGGTGAGTGCAGCTCACGGCTCATCTGAAGTGTGCACTTGACCCCGACGATGGGGCATTACATAGGCCTATTGTGCTTTTTGTAGTCAGAGAAAAAGATACTGCCTACTTCTGTAACGGGCACACTACCTTCCGACCTGAGGCATCATTCTGAATTTAGGGGTCCCTGAAGCTGTTCTCCAGATGTGGACTGGAGCCGGTGAGACCATAGGTCACTCTGATAGCCCCCAGTCACCTCAGGACAAGCTACTGATATTCTTAGGGCTATTCTGAAAGAGATGCCAATATGTGGCCCTTCTCGATGAAACGGATTTCTCCACCACGAGTCAAGCAGTAGCTGGCACCCCTAAAGACCCACTCTGACTCTCATTTTCTTGACTCTTACAGGGGAACCTCCTCCTAAACACAGCAGCTAGGTCCTTATTATTTCGGCAGCTGCCACCCTCGTTTAGAAGAGCCGAGAAGAGGGAACACGTATGCCTTGACGCCTAAAATAATTTCAGAATTCACAGCAAACCACTGGTTTAGGAAATTGTGCCTAAAAACATCCTGCAACACTTGGGCCAACAGCCCATATTCTTAGGACTCAGCTCCAGCAGCACATGAGACAAATCCAAATGCAGGCAGACCTTGAGAGACCGCGGGTTCGGTTCCAGACCACCGCAGTAAAGCCAGAATCGCAGTAACGTGGGCGGTAACCTTTTTGCTGGTGGAGGATCTGGCCTTCGATTTGTAAAAATGCATCTGAAGCGCAACACAGCGAAGCGCAGTAAACCGAGGCGTGTCTGTATATCCTGGTCTTATGCTGGCATTTCATCCCCCCGTTTCCAAATTCTGGCTTACAGTTAGGGTAAACAAGGGGTGAGGATGGAAAATACTTTTCTGGGAAGTCTGCCTATGTCACAGTTACATCACTGTAGGTTTTTTTTTAATGATGCTGCATGCTAACTGGGACAGAGAACTCCAAATCCCAGCTCTTAAGTTCCCCACTTCTGTTTGTGCACGTGAAGCCAGGGACCGACCACGGAGAACACCTCTGCATCTTCAGTGTGCGTGCTTCAGGGGCGAGAGACGGCTTCCTGTGGGAACTGCCCACCGCACATGATGCGCTGGGCGCGACCTTAAAAGAACGCCGGGGAAGGGACACCACTTAGTGCCATCACATTCAGGGAGAAGAGAAATCGGGATTTCAGTGGTCAGGAAAAACAGCTTAACCTCTGTGGAATGCGGGCCAAAAGTTCAAATCTGGTAGTGCTGTGAGGTTTTCCTTATTATAGAGTCCTTTTCTTGCTGGGTTTTAATAGGCACTTTCATTGTTCTCTGTAGACCAAATGAGGGCTGGCTTGAGGAGGAAGTGGTCAGTCCAGTTCTGAGCTGCATGAATGAGCACCGCTGGGCGCTGGGTGCACGGCTCAGCAGCTGGGCTGCAGCAGTGCGGAGGCAGGGGGCAGAGACCAGCAAAGAGCCCCCAGGCTCCAGACTGGGGCTATTGTGG